AAGTCTAGTTTATCTGATGTAAGTATAGCCATAGCAGCTTTTTTTTGTTTCTATTTGGATAGAGTATGTTTTCCATACCTTCACTTTCAGTTTGTGTGTGTCCTTAGATCTGAAGTGAGTCTCTTGTATGCAATGTATAGATAAGTCTTGTTTCTTAAATCCATTCAGCCACTCTGTGTCTTTTGATTGGAGAATTTAGCCCATTTACATTTAAATCTATAATTGATAGGTATATACTTCCTGTCATTTTGTTCATTGTTTTCTGGCTATTTTCATAGTTCCCCTGTATTCCTTTCATCTTTTGCTTTCTTACCTTGTAATTTGATGACTTTTGTTTAGTGTTATGTTTAGTTTCCTTTGTCATTATCTTTTGTGTATCCACTCTAGGTTTTTGCTTTGTGGTTACCATGAGGTTCAGCTATTTCATTCTTATATATAACAGTCTTATCAATTTTATGTTGATAGTAAAATTTGAGGACATTCTCAAAATTGTACCTTTTTACTTTCCCCCCACCCTCATGTTTTGTGTTCTTGATGCCATATTTTACATATTTGGTCCCTTAACTTGCTATTGTAGTTATTGTTAATTTTACCACTTTTATCTTTTAACCTTCATACTAGATATATGAGTGGTAAATCCACTACCTTTATTATATATTTGCTTTCTCAGTGCAATTTTTACTTTCATATGTTTTCTTCTTGCTATTTAGTGCCTTTTCAGCTTGAAGAAGTTTCTTGGAAGGACAGTTCAGTGGTGATGAATACCTTTAGCCTTTGACTCTCTAGAAAACTCTTTGTCTCTTTGAATTCTGAACAATAAACTTGCTGGGTAGAGTATTCTTGGTTGGAAGTTTTTTCCTTTTTTCCTTTCTTTTGAATATATCATGCCACTCCCTTCTGGCCCACAATGTTTCTGCTGAAAAATCAGCTTATAGTCTTATGGGATTTCCCTTGTATGTAGCAAGTTGTCTTTATCTTGCTGCTTTTAAGATTCTATCTTTTTCTTTAACTTTTGACATTTTAATTATAATGTCTCTTGGAGTGGGTTTCTTTGGATTCATCTTGTTTGGGATTTTCTGTACTTCCTCGACCTGGATGTCTCCTTCCTTCCTTAGGTTAGGGAAATTTTCAGCCATTATTTCTTCAAAAAAGTCTTTTGCCCTTTTCTTTCTTTCTCTCTCTCCTCCTTCTGGGATTCCTATAATGTAAATGTTTCTGCTTGATGTTGTTTTATAGGTCCCTTAAGCTGTCTCCCCTTTAAAAGTTATTTTTTTTTCTTTTTTGCTTTTGTGTTTGGGTGAGTTCCACTGCCCTGTTTTCCAGGTCACTGATCTCTTCTTCTGCTTCATCTAATTTGCTTTTGAACCCCTCTGATGTGTTTTTTAGTTCAGTTGTTCTATTCATCAGCTCTATAACTTCTATTTGGTATATTCTTATATATATATGTTTTTATCTTTGTTGAAGTTCATCTGTTCTTCTCTCAAGTTCTGTATCTTAATGACCATTACTCAAACTTTTATCAGGTAAGTTACTTATCTCCATTTCATTAAGTTTTTTTCCTGGGGTCTTATCTTGTTCTTTTGCTTGGGAGATATTCCTCAGTTCCCTCATTTTGCTTGTCTCTCTGTGTTCATTTCTGTGTATCAGGCAAATCACCTACCTCTCCCAGTCTTGAAGGAGTGGTTTTGTATAGGCATTGAACTTTATCATTCAACCTTGCCCTACCTCTTGGTTGTCTCTCAAACCTTTGTGATTATTCAAGCAGCCTACTTTATTCTTGACAGGTCTCAGTTGTTGAGATTGTGCGAATTCCTCTCAGTGTTTCAAAGGGAGTAATCTCAGCCAGCATTTATTTTCCAGCTCATTGGAAACCAGACCCTGAGGCAGGTCTGGCATACCTTTTAAAGTATGCAAATATATACAGTCCTGTGGGACCACAGTCATAACTTCTGCTGGGCTTGCAGACCACATGATTTAGAGATGTCCTTTTGGCAACAGTTGCAAAACTCAGGGCTCCAGATAAGTGTATAAGCTCCTGTCTGGGAGGTACCTGTGAGCTGTAGCAAGGCAGAGGGAGAGTGCAGAGATGTGTCTTCCAGACTATATTGTCTGAGAACTCCTCTGTGGTTTACAGCCGTATGGTAAACCTGAAGCCTGCCCCTGTGGCTAATGCTCCAAGAACAGTAAATAGGCATTTTTCACAGGAAGACTGGGGGCGTGTTTCAGTCTAATATTTGTGCTTTGCCCTGGGGGTGGTAGCTTGCCAGAAACTATCTCTTCTGTTGTTTTAGTTTCATGGAGCCCAGCAATGCAGTCCACACTGGCCACCAGAGACAAGTGCTTAAGGGGTCACTCCTGTGTGCACTGTGTGTGCCCACTGGCTTTGGCTGAGTCAAAGGGGAGCCTAGGGCTGGGGCTAGCCCACAACCTTCAGCAGTGCTTTGGGGGAGCCTGGGGTGGTATAAGTCTGCCTGCCGGCTGAAGTGGAGCTGGGCCGCAGGGCACTTGGCTGCCTCAGTTGGAAGAGCGACTCTTGATCTCAGAGTTGTGGTTTTGAGCCTCATGTTGGATGTAGAGATTA